AGATAAAGAATAAAGACATTAAGGATGATTTTCTATGGAACATAGGTCACGCTCCAGGTGAAGCTGGTGTTACACAAGTCATAGTACTCTCTAGCTGAAGATGAAGCTGGAACACTGGCCGTACTTGTATTCAATTGATGGAGTTTGACCTTCACAAAGCAATTGTTGATATAATTGCGCATTGAATGATATAGCTGGTAGAATGCAAACAAAAGTAACAAAGTGGACGTTTGCCTAACAAACAAAAGTGGAGGCAAACAATTTTGTTTGCCTCCACTTTTCTTACTTTTGTTTACATTAGAATGCAAACACTTTTGTTACTTTTGTTTGCATTCGACCAAAAAATTTTGTTGATTTACTTTGAACTTCGAGAGCCTCTTGAAACTTCGCTAGGGGTGGAGTCAGGAAATTTTTTCAGTGTGGGTACAATTTAATTGACGCCAAACTCTGAGTTTTTTTTATCATGGATTTAATGATGAAAAAATTTTAAAACAATATCACAAAAATACTAAAAATGATTTAGTTCATAAGTTAAACTTATTGCTTGAGAGTTTTCATACTTTGACATCGTTGTACAATAATTTCATTATTAATCTTTAAAAAATGTATTTCATTCAAAAAATTAAATTTCTATGGTAGGATGTATTGTCTTACAAAAAACTAGAATGTCTTGTTTTTACATAGAAACTCTGCCAATTTATAAATGTATCTTATCAAAGTTGGGAAGATAAAACTTCGATCAAACATATTGCAAGTACCTATTATACTTATATTTAGCATACAAATTCAACAACAATGGCTACCTTCGTAAAGGTCAGGCTAAATATTCAATTTATCTTAATAGAAAGTGCATGTTGTGCATAAAATTAATGATTATTTCTAGGAGAAATGTGATGTTATTATTTACTTTATAGTTATGAGCATTTGAAGGGGTAAATGGACCCCAAATTTATTTGGTATATGCGCTGTGGATATATTGTATTGTATTTTTGGTTGGTTTAGTCCATATTATAGGGGAGATGTTGCCGAAATTTCGACGAAATGTTTGCAGTATCTATCTTTCGAGATAATCCGTAAGTCCTTGCTTATTCTAACTCACTCACATTTTTGAGGCAGTTAGTAAGTCCTCGCTTATTAGAGCTACCCATATTTCTGAGGCAATCTATAACACCTCGTCTGCATGACATCTTATACTTCAAAGTTTGACCCGCATATAAATAATACGACTCAGACTTGGGGGACTATTGTTATATCCAAAAATTACGTGGTATACGTATGACGGAGGGCTCCCATATTGGACGACATGGCATCGTTTATTTGACAGCTTATATTTCAAAGTCTGAGCCGCATATAAATAATATGACTCAGACTTGGGGGATTATTGTTATACATATAAATTATTGCATATTGAACCTTATTATTGGACTTGGACGAGGCCCATTAATGCACTTAGCCCATCTCCATTTTCCATATATATGTGGTTTCATTTCATTCCGAGGTAAGTGATTCTAACCCGAAGCAAACCCCCTCCCGTCTCTTGCACATTTTATTTTCTTTCCTTTCCGTCCGGTCGTTGACTTGATTGTCGGAGTGCAAACGGTCGCTGAACCATTTTCTCGATCGGTGGCCTTTGCCTCCAACAGGGTGCTCTGTGTGCAGGTGATGAGGGGATGAGGTTGGATTCTGTTGGCGCATTTTTTGAGGTCAACAGAAGCATTAAAAGGCCTCGAGTATTGAAACAATTTGAACAAAGGGTGATTCGTGTATGTAAGTTCTAAAACCTAGTTAATTAACCAATTTGTCTCAATCATGTGTTTTAGTTAGAATAAGTTAGTAAGAACTTCTTACCGACAGTTTTTCGCACAGTTCTGATTTGGATAACTTAATAGATTTGTGTTTTACAAGATATAATTTATTGCAAAATTAAATAAAGATGAACAATAGATATACCATCATAAACCTCTAAGTAAAACATTCACGAACCCCATGCCACGGGTAAAATAATCCACTATGAAGGAATTAAAAATACAAAATTAACGAAACAATCAAAAGTGAGTAAATAACAATTCCCTCGCTTTCTTTTCTCTTTTGACTTCTTGGAGAAGTAGAATCAAATCCTCCGATTTTGACTTTATCGCTACTTCACTATTGTATTCGGCTGTAACCACAACTTGAATTAAGATTTACCAATGTTAACTCATGCCAAGTAGCATGATCTTTGAGTAGAATTATATCATTCAAGCTTAGATGTGTTATCTTTAATTACGGTTGAAGAACATGATTTTTGCTTTTAGATAATTCAATAGTACATCAGTCGGCCAGACCTCACAGGAGACGATATGAAGACTTTAGAAATTGCTGCTGTAGGTTTGCCGGACATGGACAACTTGTTCTCAAAGCATTAGTTCACCTCTTAATGATTCAAAGACCCCTCTAAGGCACGAACATGTCTTACCTAAAATATGGAAGTTTTGTCCGATAAGAATAATATAGAATATGTTTGATATGGTCAATAATTAAATTAAAGAAAGTTTTAATTTGCTAAAATTATCTTTAACGTTCAATTATAGTGAATTAGTTGTAATCAAATTCGATCTACGTAACACAAAAGTGTTTTTTTGTTTGTAATTATTCTATCTTACACTATGAATTATGTAAAAGCTTGGTTTTAATAAAATTGTGAGATGAAGGTATTGGATTTCAGAATCCACCTATTGATCTCCCATCTCTATCTCCAATTCTCGACTCATGTAAGTTAGTATTCTTCAAGTGTTTGTGACAATCGATAATTCATTAGTTATATCGATTCATTGTCATTTATTATTATTATTATTATTATTATTATTATTATTATTATTATTATTATTATTTAGTTTTCTTTTCAATTTTTGATTAATGTCTCCCTTACATTTATTGAATAAAAAAAAGAATAATTAGAATTAAAATCTTTTCATTTCTTGAAGCATATTAGGCGTGTTCCGTATGATTAAAAGAGAAAGAAAGAAAGAAAAGCTTGGTACCCATTTTAGCCACTCTTGCTTTTTGTCTCGTGAGTTTGACATTTTTATTATCTCTAGGAACTGTATATACTATAAAAAAACGTGGAAACATGGGATAGCCACATAAATGTATCTTATAGTGCCTTTTTGTTTGATAAGTAACCCAAATCAATCACAAGAAAAAAAAAAAGTAGAAGTTATCATCAAATTAAAGCAAGGTGGTGGTCTTCATCTTATGACGTCTACGATTTGAGTCTTGCTGCAAGGGCCGATTGAGATTTTAGGGGCCTCATGTCAATTTCAAACATGGAGCCCTTTAAGCAAAATATACATAATTTGATGATAACTTCTACTTTTTTTTTCTTGTGATTGATTTGGGTTACTTATCAAACATGATGTTGTTAGTCAAATGTAGGATTTTATTAACTCCACTTTGAGAAGTTATTCTTGGCACATGTAAGTGTAACTGACAATAATATTCTACAAGCAATTCACATATTTTGAAAAATAATAGTTTATCATTTTAATATAATCTAACACTTCAAGTCTTCAATCGTCTTTTAAATCTCTCATGGCAAACAACTCCCAAATATACAGCTTAAAAAAATATCTTTTACTCAAAATATCAGAATTTTTATTGTACTTCAAAAATTCTTCAAACTAATATAACACAAGTTACTCCAACAAATTTATCACCTACAGTCTTTTTTAATTTTTTTTTAATTTTTTAGATTCAAATAAAAATCCAAAAAAATTCATGTTTTCTGAAATTGTTCAAATTATCTTAAGTGATAAAAGAGTCTGATCCACTTATATAAGGAATAATCAACTCTAATAGCCGTTTCAATAATTCATCAAACAGTTCTTACCTTGAAATATCATTAAAAAATACAAAAGAAATAAATAATAAATAAATTCTTCTACTTTAACTAGACTTACTAAGATGTATACATAATTAAATTTTACAAAGACTGAACTAACCTATCTTTTGTATTTTAATTAAACATTAGCATGTTTGCTAATTGGACTGCATTGGCTTGTTTTCAATTACTTGAAATGCATTTGGATAACATCCTTTTTCGATTGGATATGGCTTTGACTATCCCTGCAGCCCGCCAATTAGTTAGACATATTTTAGTGAATGGGCGTATGGTAGATATGCCATAATGCCAAGTTATCGCGACAAACCTTGAGGTATTATTATGACGAAGGATGGACAAAAGTTTAGAATTCTAATTCAAAATTCGCTTGACTCATCCCCTCGCGTGGATTTAACCTTTTGACTCTTCATCCATTCCAATATAAAGGATTATTCAATCAAATAATACATAGTAAATGGGTCAAATTGAAAATAAATGAATTGTTAGCCAAAAAAAAAAAAAAAAAAAAAAAAAAGGAAAAAAAAAAAAAAAAAAAAAAAAAAAAACCACTAAAGATTATATTAATAAGCTATAATTACATTATATTATCCTCAGCCCACTTAAATTAACTAATATTTAATTTAATTTTTGTCGTCAAATGATTTTTATCATCTAACAATAAAAACGTAATACATTTTTGGTATAATGCATTAGATTACATCAGATAACACTAAAGAAAAATAAATTAAAATTTTATGTACAATAGTGCTCAACATGGTCTAATAAATCGTTCCAAATATAAAATGTTGTACCTGATTACTTACGTTAAACCTAGCCTCTATTGTATTATTTCTCTTCTTTCAACAATGCTCATTTCTTAATAAATTTTTTCTCGATATTTTCTAAGATGAGAAGGAACCTCTATAATTTCCCCATGTCAAAATCTGTATATAATGATTGCATGAAATAAATAACACGAGCTTATTCTTAATATTCAATTAAAAATGGTTTTCTCATTTATAAATACATAATTAAGCAAGAAAAGAAAACAAACCAGCACAAATTATTCAGATTAATATACAGAACAAGATACATAATCAAAAAATAAAAAATAAAAATAAAAATAAAGAAAAAGGGAATAGGAAGGAGCATGAGCTTCAATTTACATTTTAACTTCAACTTCATTGGGCAAATTCTGATGCACATGTGCGCCTTCAATTCCATCATTAATTGGCTGTGAAACAACTGAGAGTTTCTCGGAATTTAACAGTGCACTGATATTAACAATGTCAATAATTTGCTCAGTTAATTCTTGAACTTTGTGTTCTTCCAAAATTATAATTTTATTTGGTATTTCAGGAAGCTTTTTCTTTTCGCCCTTGTCAGCATTTTTGTATATTACATAAAGCACCATTTGAAGAACCCCGAAGCTGAAGCCTAGAACATTTGGAATCTGTACGACAGCAAAATAAATATTATTAGCAAAAATTAATGAAGATGTCGTGTAAGGGACATGCATTAATAGGGAAATGCTGAAACCGTCAAGACATTAGCTTCGATAGGAATTATTATTATCATTATTTATTTTTTTTACCGCCCTAATTAACCGACTTTATTAAAAAATATTACTTTTTTTAGGACAAGAAGTTGAGATCTTTGTTCTATCTCCTTTTCCTTCGGAGAAGAAAGAAATGAGGGTATTAACTTACAGCAATGATAAAATCTCTGAGTAGTAGACCATAGAAGAACCACATAACAGCGCTAATTGTGAGGAAAAATGATAGAAGAAATGGCATATATTCGACGCTCTTTGTTCGTATAACTTGTCTCTGCAAAGAAAATATATAAAATGAAACCACAAAAACAACTTGATGCTGAAAATTATTTGATTTTCTACTCCTTTTTTTAAACTTACCACAATGCCTAAAGGGGCAATAAATACACACAATGAAAATACTAGACAAATCCATCCAACAACGTGGGTACGTTTCGAAGCTTTCACCATAAGTTGATTCGTGAGAACGATAAGACCAAACCCACAAACTATCACCACAAAAATTAACTTTATAGTTTGTACCTGCATTCAAAAAAGTTCGACAACTCAACTCATCAACAGTCTCATATAAATTCAACTTCACTATTTTAATATAGTGGAGAAAGCAATACTCATCTTGTGTTTCAGCTCCACTCAGTCAGGCTAACAATTTTCTTCACTTGATTCCTTCCTTATATCAATGTTAACTAGTGGATTATTAGAAGCTCCAGATGTGTTAATTCTTTACTTAATGGATTGCCCATGTGTTAAAAATTCCAAATTTAAAAACTTTTTATGAAAACATAACTTTCAATTATATGAAGAATTGAAGATTGTATAGATTTCATTTGGTTGAAAGCAAAGCGATGAAGCAGGAAAAGTATATTTTCCTCTGAAATAAAATAGAAAATAGAAGTAATGATACAAACACTAAATTGTTAGTTGAGCTATTCAATCTTGGGTAATTAAGATAATGATTGACTTAACTTGATCCAAGCTCAAATACGAATTTAAATAGCAAATCTTATTTTTCTCGAATTTAACGGAAATTATATCCAAATTAAACTAATCAATTTAGCTTATCCTTTCTTGATAAAATGGATTAATCTCCCATTTAGATGGTTCAAACTAGACTGCTTGCTATTATTTAACCTTTTCTTTCATATTGCAACATGGACGAAATAACCTTGCCACATCCAAGTTTCTGTCATTGGCAGCAAATGTGAGTCCATTGCCTCTCCTATAGGATCTAACACTTTTCTAACGTTGCCACGGTATTTATGGCAAGAGCAATGCTTCATGTACAATGAACTTGACAATATTATTGACAACATACTACGTGGCATGTTTTTATTAGACATTTTGAAAAAATAAATAAATAAATAAAAATAAAAATAAAAAACTCATCTTTTCAATCAATACTTTTCTGCCACACCAATCATTGTCAACAATGTTGTACAAAATTATTGTACAAATAGATTAATTGTTATGGCAATCATCCTAAAAGCAGTAATTGTCAACAAAATTATTACTTTGGGAAGAATATTGCTAAAGTACTCTAAAGTTACTATAAAGGAATATTGCTGTTTAGCAAAGGAATATTGGAATTTCCAATATTCCTTTGCTAAACAGGTACTCTAAAGTTACTATATACCTGTTTAGCAAAGGAATATTGGAAATTCCAATATTCCTTTGCTAAACAGCAATATTCCTTTATAGTAACTTTAGAGTACTTTAGCAATATTCTTCCCGAAGTCTATTTTTATATGAATCAGTAGGACCGACCGATGATATTGGTGAAGAATAATTTTACTCAAGCAATTGCCCTGTTTGAGAAGTAGCACTCTTTTAGCGAGGCATTATCCTATAGTATGTTTTATGGAAATTGCTATTAGTACATTCCGGTGTACACTCCCCTCACAATTTTGTGTGAACCCTCTATTGTAAGAGGAGTGCACATCAAAGTGTATATATAGCAAAACCCATAGGCGAATCAATGGGCCTACATGAATCGGTAGGACCTACCGATGATTTTAGTGAAGCAATATCCTAAAGTATGTTTTATTGACAACTACTAAACTAGTCCCCTTACTGAAGCAAATCTGAATTGGGAAACGCAGTAGAGGTGATATTTATATAATTAGATAGTCAATACTATTTCAAAATTTTAAAATGGAGAATGAATTATAGTCGATCTTTATATAATTAGATAATCAACACTATTTGTGACCTATAAAATTTATGATTTGTGATTGTAACATTCCGTGATTGTGACTAGTACATAAATATGACCATAAATTGTATAATATTGCGATCTTAATATATTTAATTAATAAAACTTAAGTATGACTTGATTTTTGAAATTCTAAAACAAAATTCTTAAATTTAAAATTATATGTTTCAAACACCTTAGATATTGTTCCCTAAATTTCAACTCCGTTGATTCTTTAAATAATCAGAGTTTGGTACTAAATGATTAAAATACAAAGGGAGAAGTTTCTTAATTTTTTATCGATAATTGATAGTGATTTAGTTTCATTCAGTTAATCAAAGGAATGCTACACGATAATAAAACAATGAAATTCTTGGAAGGAGAAAAAATCACAACCTTACACACTCATGTGAGACCCTTAATATGCTTCTGTTTCCCCTTTATTTACGAGTTTTCGACTCTGGACGGGAAGCCTAATGTAAAAAAGTTGCCTCTTTTCTTGGCCTACCAAGATGTAAGAATAATATCAAACAAAATGTATACAGTGAAGTTCTTTGGGACATTTGACTCGCTACTTAATTTTGGGGCCCTCTACTCACCCCAACAAAATATCATTTTCAGCTTTCCAAGTTCAGTTGATTCTATATAAGGAATGATATAAAGTGAGATTAGGAAGGAAATAAGAAGTATAGTATTCTCTGATAATGGAAATTGTTAAGAAGTGGATCCAAGGAGCGAAGAGCAAATTGGGAAATTTTTATCTAGGTTCGCTAACACCCAAGGTCCAGGATCCTCCCCCTCCCATGTTGGCCTCCAACGACAATCAAAATTCGCCAGAGAATTTCGACTGGACAGGTCCAATCATTTCTTTCTGCTTCGCATCAGCTGTTGGTATTGCAATGTTGCCACCAAGTCGAAGAGAAACCTTACCAATGATCTTTTTCTGTGTTCTTGTGATTCTTGCATTTTCGTTCATGTTGGTGAGAAAATACATCCAAAGCAGGTATCCAGACTGGGCCAAAAGGATGGAACTGGCTGGAATATTATGTACTACCACAGCTTTCTTTTTAGGCATTAGCATGAGGTTCTCACTAGTCCTCAAGATATTTTCCTGGTTCATTTACATTATTTGTTTGATTGTCATATTCATATGCAATCGATGCTAGCCCATAATCTGTCTGCAGTTCAAGTGAATTACTTTTTGAGTCAACTTTGATATTTGTTTGAGAGAGAGAAATACCTACTGTCGCCGGTGGAGGATAGAAAGTAATATTCAATACTACCATGTATTGTCTAGTGTGAAGAAGTTTATCTTCTATAATTTTTATATTTCTGGAAAAATTATCTCAGAGTTTCATAGGAATGACCCGACTTATGGGGTTCTGCTTGTGATGATTCCTACTTATGTTCGCTCTAGATATTCAAGAAATGAAATATTGTGAATTCTCTATTTGGTTTCTAATGGATGTTTGAAAGATAAACATTTCTTTATTCGATAGAATTAAGGTTTTTATGATGTTAAAAGTGTTAATTAATTGAGTATTAGACTTTTTGGTTCTTTTAGCCCTTGATTTGAATGCTGTCATTTCTAATATTTTGAAATTCTGATGGACTGCCTTGTCGGTTAAAAAATGTGTGAAGAGGTCTTGAAACTGGAACCATTAGGGGAAATGGTGGCCAATGGCCTATTATCCCAACCCATTTTCTACGAGATCAATTTTAAATTATTAAAAAAAAAGGGGGAAAAAAGGTAAAAAATAAAAAATAAAAACAAATTATAATTCCTTTATTTTTATTTTATTTTTATTTTTTATGTTTATATAATTCCTTTATTTGCATTTGATTTTAATTTTAAATTTATTTTATTCTTTAGTTTTATTTCGGTAATTTAAAGTAGAGTTTAAAAATCATTCAAATTTGTTGTATTGCAATTTTGACCTAATCTAAACAGGGGCTACGCTTACATATAATATTAAATTATAGATTTTAAATTAACATATGACTATTTGATAATGTTATTTGTAATCATGACGGTGGATCATCATGTTTAAATGATATTGAGCCCCTGTTTGATGATTATTATAAAGAGAAAATGAAGTTTTAAATAATGATTTTTTTCAAGAATGTGCGATTAAAAAGTAAGAAAAAATTTTGAATTTACATACAGAATACTTTATTGTGTGAATATATAATTGAAAATGAGTGAAAAATAAAAAAATTTAGTTTAAAGAGAGTCAAATAGGGACTGAATAATTGGTCCAATAACATGGATTATGTGTTGCTTATGTGTTGCGAATCGATAATTTTAGAGTTCGAGTTGCCACATAATCTAATCAATCATTTTGATGACAAATAACATTACTCCAGTCTTGACAAGCATAAAGACTTTTGAGACCAAGGTTTGTGCATGAATATGTATAACTCACTTTTTTCAAACTCATTTTCAACATATATTTTTTCGATAAAATGATTTTATAAGTAAATAAAAATTTTCTCTACTTTTTAATCATATTCTCTAAAAATTAACTATTACAAAATTTAGTCTCGCAATATATAGGCTCAGACAAGTCCTAAACAATACCATGAATAATATAAACCCCTTCAAGATACATTTCTTTATGCCTTTTACAAAGGTAATAAGATATACTATTTTCACAAAGAGATCTATCATTGAAAAAGTTCCATACAAAATTATCCCGTCGATGTCCAAATATTTTAGGATTAAAATTAAGGGTAACATAGAAGGGGAGAGACTTTAACGGCTACAAAGAAGAATTAATTGTTCAAAATGCTACGGATGTAGAGAGCTATCTTTTGAAGAAACTAATCAAATCTGATTTCGCTAAACGAATGACTAGCTACGTCTGCCATCTAGCAAAAAAAAAAAACCGATTAAATTTTGACTTAATCCATAAAAAAAAAAAAAAAAAAAAACCGATTAAATTTTGACCTAAATAATATAAAACGTTACCCAAAAAAACACTCGTTAGCACCTTTGCCGCAATTAAATTTTGACCTAAATAATATAAAACATCACCCGAAAAAAAACTCATTAGCACCTTTGCCGCCGGAAAGAGTGAGCTGACTTTGGTTGTCCAAACCCCTATAAATTAAAGGGTGGTTGGAAGGAACAATCTGGATATGCAAGTATACAACGTATAGAAAGAATAGAGGAGGCAGTGAGAGGAGAGCAACAAAATTAATAAGAATTATTGATCGCTATGATAATGGAATTTCTTGAAAAGTGCAAGCAAGCGATCACAATGAATTTGGGAGATCAGTTTCCATTTCCTCCGCCACCTACGGTCCTTGATCCTCCAACTTCAAAGAATCTCGGTTTGTTAATTCCAACCTGTTTCGCGTGGGTTAGTCGCTAACAATTAAAAGGGATCAGACGATTGTATAAGGGACAAACCTCTTAAAA